GCGAGTTACCACCGATACCAAATATAGACATATTTAGTTTTTTTCCAGGGTCAGCTGGACCATAACCAGAGTCTTTTTTAAGAGTTAACCCAGCAAATGAGCTTTGAACAAACCGGCCCAGAATACAGTGGAGGACCACAGGGGTCCCAGGCTCAACAGTTTTGTTGCTGTCACGGCGGTAAATATTCTTATTTACGAGGGGGGAAAAATATAAAAATGGCTTTAAAAATCAATCTTTATTCATAAAACTGTTTATACTTATTAAAGAAGAAAGAAAGGAAAGAGAAAGTCTTGAAAAGTCTCAAGAAATGAAGTAGAAAAAATTTACGGCTTCATGAGGGCTCGAACCGCGAACCACGCGATTAATACTTTGACACCGCCGTGAAAGCAACACAACTGTTGAGCCTGGGCCCCCTTTGGGAGGACCATGGGAACAAGACGTAGGGATTGTTATATGTCTTTCTTGGCTGTCGTATCTCGACCGGCAGTACTTCCGAATAGGTGGTTGGCCACCTTCCAAATTCTCGGCCCATTTGATAGGCACTACACAGTCCTTTCCACAAACAATTCAGATACAGACATATATCATTTAGTATAAACATACTAATGGTCTATCACTCATACTGCGCTGTGATTGGCTACTCTACTAATGGTCTAATAAACAATTAGACCTCGAGGTCGAGTGGACTACGAGCTAATAGCCCATGACGTCGAGTCCGCGAGGCCGAATGGGCTATTAGCTCGTAGTCAACGAGCTAGTAGTCTAATTGTTAAGTATATATTGGACGCATATTCCGCACTGAGCATGCGCAATAATTAGAATAACTCAGAACAACTTAGTCCCTCTCAACTACCTTTAAACAATAAAAACAAAAACCCTGGGAACTACGTTAAATTGTTTACCTGTATAATAATTTACATGTCATATGATTATTACCTGAGGAATTAGAGGAGTAAATATTCCACTAAATAAATTCCCTCCAAGACCGCTGGCAATGTATATCATGGCAGTCCACATGGTTCTGAACACGTGACGAACATATACATTAAAGTAAGTACTGATGGGTAAGTATGTTGGCAAAGTGATCCTTACCCAATTTCTATTTCAATTTTGCATCCAACAATAATTTGGAAGAGAAGGTTAGTGACTAAATGAAGTATTCCTGAAGGAAATATACAAAACCTTTATCAACAGACAACTCTATA